GGAGCTTGCAGTGAGCCGAGATCCGGCCACTGCACTCCAGCCTGGGCGACAGAGCGAGACTCCGTCTCAAAAAAAAAAAAAAAAAGAAAATGTGGCACATATACACCATGGAATACTATGCAGCCATAAAAAAGGATGAGTTCGTGTTCTTTGTAGGGACATGGATGCAGCTGGAAACCATCATTCTCAGCAAACTATGGCAAGAATAGAAAACCAAATACCGCATGTTCTCACTCATAGGTGGGAATTGAACAATGAGATCACTTGGACACAGGAAGGGGATCATCACACACCGGGTCCTATTGTGGGGAGGGGGCGGGGGAGGTACAGCATTAGGAGATATGCCTAATGTAAATGATGAGTTAACAGGTGCAGCACACCAACATGGCACATGTATACATATGTAACAAACCTGCACGTTGTGCACATGTACCCTAGAACTTAAAGTATAATAAAAAATAAAAAAATTTAAAAGAATAAAAATTACTACTGGTATATTAATAACTTATGACAGGGTCTCTAACATCGTTTTAAATGCTGGGAATTAAAGCAATGAAAATACCAAATCTTTGTCTTTATGGAGCTTATATTACAGTTGGAAAATAATTAGTAAACTTATATTTTCAAAAACATAGATGCCGCGTGGCCGGGCGCGGTGGCTCACACCTGTAATCGCAGCACTTTGTGAGACTGAGACGGGTGGATCTACTGAGGTCAGGAGTTTGGGACCAACCTGACCAACATGGTGAAACCCCGTCTCTACTAAAAATACAAAAATTAGCTGGGTGTAGTGGCTCACGCCTATAATCCCAGCTACTCTGGAGTCTGAGGCATGAGAATTGCCAGGAGGCGGAGGTTGCAGTGAGCTAAGATCGTGCTACTACACTCCAGCCTACGTGACTGAGCGAGACTCTGTCTCAAAAAAAAAAAAAAAAACCCTTGGTGCTATGAAGAAAAGTAAATCAAAACAGAAAGTGGAACGGAAGGGGCCTATTTTTATGGTGTCATCAAGGAATCTCTCTCTGAAGAAGTAAAGAAGTAAGATCTAGGCCGGGCGCAGTGGCTCATGTCTGTAACCCCAGCACTTTGGGAGGCCGAAGCAGGCAGATCACGAGGTCAGGAGATCGAGACCATCCTGGCTAACACGATGAAACCCCGTCTCCACTAAAAATACAAAAAGTTAGCCAGGTATGCTGGCAGGCACCCGTAGTCCCAGCTACTCGGGAGGCTGAGGCAGGAGAATGGCGTGAACCCGGGAGGTGGAACTTGTAGTGAGCTGAGATTGCGCCACTGCACTCCAGCCTGGGTGATAGAGCAAGACCCCATCTCAAAAAAAAAAAAAAAAAAAAGTAAGATCTAGCCAGGCGCAGAGGCACAGGCACACACCTATAATCCTAGCACTTTGGGAGGCTGAGGCGGACAGATCACCTGAGGTCAGGAGTTCGAGACCAGATTGACCAACCAAAATACAAAAATTAGCCAGGCGAGGTGGCACATGCCTGTAGTCTCAGCTACTCGGGAGGCTGAGGCAGGAGAATCGCTTGAACCCGGAAGGCAGAGGTTGCAGTCAGCCAAGATTGTGCCATTGTACTCCAGCCTGGGCAACAAGAGCAAGACTCCATCTCAAAAAAAATAAAAAAGAAGATCTAAGCAGGGGCCTAAGTGGCATGAAGAAGCAAGCAAATCATATGATAACAAAGGAAGAACATTCCAGGCAGGAAAAACGTCAATAATAAAAGCCTTAAAGCAGTAAGTAACTTGGTCTTTGAGGAACAGCAAGGCCAGCGGCTCTGGAGCTTAGAGGAGTAGTAGGAGATGAGATCAGTGAAGGAGAAATCAAGTAAGGCCTTTTAGGCTAAAATTAGGTCTTTGGATTTTTTCTAAATATGATGAAAAACTATGAGGAGCCTTTAAATGAGAGTGACATGTTACTATTTATGTCTTTCATTTTAGCTGTTGTGAGAACAAACTAGAAGGAGAAAAGAATGGAAGCAGGAAGAGCAGATAGAAGGCGATTAACAACAGCCCAGAAAAGATATAACAACAATGGCTTATATTAGGGCAAAGGAGTGGGAGCAGCAAGAAATGATAATATAGGGGATACAGTTTGAAGGTAAAGCTGCTGCTGGTGGATTGAATGTGTAAGGGGAAAAAAAGAGAAAGCAAGTATGATTTCCATTTTGTGGCTTGATTAAGTGGGTAAACGACAGTACCATTTACTAAGAGGGTAAAGTCTGAGAAAATGGTAGGTTTGAGGAAATAAACCAATAATTCTTTTTCAGACAAGTTAAAATTGACATGCCTACTAAAATATTCAAGAGATGTAGAAAAGGCAGTCCTGGCAGGGCACAGTGGCTCACACCTACAAACCCAGCCCTTTGGGAGACCAAGGTAGGAGGATGCCTGAGGCCAGATGTTCGAGAACAGCCTGGGCAACGTCGCAAGATCCAGTCTCAATAACAACAATAAAATTGTTGTTAGTATGCACCTACAGTCCTAACCAGGTGTGGTAGTATGCACCTATAGTTCTAGCTACTCAGGAGGCTGAGGCAGGACGATCACTTGAGACCAGGAGTTCAAGGTTACAGTGAGCTATAATCGCATCACTGTATTCCAGCCTGGGTGACAGAATGAGACCCTGTCTCGAAAAATGAAAACGCAGTACATTATAGTGTGGAGTTCAATGAAGATGTCAAGGCCTGAGTCAAGAGCAAATTAATAATGCTTACAGCCATGGCATTAGATAAGATACCCAAAGAACCGTCAAATACTAACGGACGAACACTGATAAAGAAAAGTTACAAAGCCTAAGTCTAGGTAGGATACAACAACCTTCAAGTGAGGAAAGAGACGCTAGAAAATAAGACCGAGAAGGAGCTGCCATAAATTAGGAAAGAGTAAGGATGATACGGCATCCAGAAAACCCAGTAAAGTTTTTATAAAAACAGGAAATGATCAATCACCTGTGTCAAATGCTGGTGAGAGTTAGAGTGATTTAAGGATGGAGAACACTGACAAGAGTGATTTCAGTTGGTGGGAGTGGAAAAGAGCCAACCTGGAAAGAACTGGGGAAAAAATTTAATCTTAGAGGGCAGAGATACTGAGAACGAGCAATTCTTTTTTTTTTTTTTTTTTTTTTTTTGAGACAGAGTCTCACTCGGTCGCCCAGGCTGGAGTGCAGTGGCCGGATCTCAGCTCACTGCAAGCTCCGCCTCCCGGGTTCATGCCATTCTCCTGCCTCAGCCTCCCGAGTAGCTGAGACTACAGGCGCCCGTCACCTCGCCCGGCTAGTTTTCTTTGTATTTTTTTAGTAGAGACGGGGTTTCACCATGTTAGCCAGGAAGGGCTCGATCTCCTGACCTCGTGATCCGCCTGTCTCGGCCTCCCAAAGTGCTGGGATTACAGGCTTGAGCCACGGCGCCTGGCACAAGCAATTCTTTCTGACAAATTTTGCTGTAAATGAGAAGGAAAGGTGTGTGTGAGAAATGAGCTGCTTTTGTTTTTTTCCTTTTGCCATTCCTATTGAAGTTAGAGAATTAAGAGTTATAGCATGTTCGTATCCTAAGAAAAATGATTCAGCAGGAAAAATAATACAGGGGATGCGCTGGTCTAGATAAAATAAAAATAAAACAAATAAAAACAATGATACAGAAGATAACCCAGAAGCAAAATCCTTAAAGAGACAAGAAGTCACAACACAGATGAACATAGATGAATTGGCTTTAAAAAAAAAAAAAAAAAAAAGTGTGTCTGCAAGTAGGACTCGCTTTTGCTGCAGAGAATAAAAACACTATGTGCAATACTTAAATCGATCAATAAACAAACAAACATGCCCAGCGCAGTGGCTCACGCCTGCAATCCCAACACTTTGGGAAGCCAAGGTGGGATGATTGCTTGACATAGCGAGAGCTCGTCTCTAAAATAAAAAAAAATAATGTTTTTAAAAAACAGCTAAGAGTCTAGAAGGAAAGGAGATTACATAGTCTTCTTAGCAAACTAAGTAGAAAGACAAGCAGATACAGCAATGCTGTAGGCACAATGGATATGTGTGGCCATAAATTTAAAGCGAGACGAGCTAGCATATTTGTTTTCTCCAGCCACACTCCGTTGTTTAGGTTCAAGGAATTACAGAGTTGACAAAGAACTGAGTGTAATCGGGGTTGAAGTTTTGCCTTGATTACAATGAAGGAAGAGAAGAACAAGAGTTTATCACTTAACACCACAGAATGGTACATACAGAACACTAATAGTAACTAAAATTTTTATTAAATGAATCAATATAATCGGATAAGTTAAGAAGAGAATATATGAGGGGAATAATGGACAGTGAAAAAATGATGTAGCTACTGGCCTGGAGGTCTTGATGGAATCCAAGAAATGTCCAGTGAGAAAAATGAAAAAGCAAAAAAAAAATAGGAATCCAAGAAATGTCAAAATAGGGTACTAGAGTATGTGAGTTAGTAAAAGAGGAAGTTAGATGCTTACAATTTTTTTTTGAGACAGAGTCTCACTCTGTCATCCAGGCTGGAGTGCAATGGCGTGATCTTCACTCACCGCAACCTCCACCTCCCAGATTCAAGCGATTCTCCTGCCTCAGTCTTCTGAGTAGCTGGGATTACAAGCGCATGCCATCACGCCCAGCTAACTTTTTGAATTTTTAGTACAGACGGGGTTTCACCATGTTGGCCAGGCTGGTCTTGAACCCCTGACCTCGTGATCCACCTGCCTCGGCCTCCCAAAGTGCTGGGATTACAGGCGTTTGAGTCACCGCACCCAGCCCGATGCTTACAATGTTTTAAGTTACAGATCATAGTGATAAAGTCTAGGGTAATGGTTCTCCATCCTGACCATACATTGGAACCACTTAGAACACTTTTTAAAAAAATATCGGACCAACAAAATATGAATTTCTGAAGGTAGCCCACTACTATCAATATTTTTTAAGCCACCCATTTATAATACATAGCCAGAATTGAGAACTACTAGTCTAGGGTGTGATCATGCATGTAGACAGCAAAGGTAGGTTGGAAAAGAAACCTGTAATCTGCAAACTGAAGAACTTCTAATAAAGTTTTCTTCTATTATTCTTGACATGAATAAAAACATGAGCTATGCTCAAAGTATTTCACATATAGTAACTCATTTCATATTCATAACAACCCAACGAGGGAGGTCTAGCATTATCCCTTTGTGAGGAAAATTAGACACAGATGGGGAGAACAAAACTGTACTGAATTAAGAGTCCTAGGTTATACATAAAGTTAAAGATGTATATTATAAACCCTAAGGCAACTACTTTTTTTTTTTTTTGAGGCGGAGTCTCGCTGTGTCTTCAGGCTGGAGAGCTGTGTCGCGATCTCGGCTCACTGTAACCTCCACTTTCCAGGTTCAAGTGATTTTCCTGCCTCAGCCTCCCAAGTAGCTGGGACTACATGCACATGTGACCACGTCCGGCTAATTTTTTGTATTTTTAGTAGAGACAGGGCTTCACTGTGTTAGCCAGGATGGTCTTGATCTCCTGACCTCGTGATCCGCCCACCTCAGCCTCCCAAAGTGCTGGGATTACAGGTGTGAGCCACTGCACCTGGCCAAGGCAACTAATTTTAAAAATCAAGACATATAGCTAATCAGTCAACGTGAAGATAAAATGGAATACTAAAATATACTCAAGTAATCCAAAAAGGAACAAAGAAGAGATAAGACAAATTAAAAACAAATAGGCCAGGCGTGGAGGCTCATGCCTCTAATCCCAGCACTTTGGGAGGCCAAGGTGGGTGGATGACCTGAGGTCAGGAGTTCAACACCAGCCTGGCTAACACGGCAAAACCCCATCTCTACTCAAAATACAAAATTTAGCCCAGTATGATGGTGTGCGCCTGTAATGCCAGCTACTCGGGAGGCTGATGCAGAAGAATCACTTAGACCCGGGAGGCGGAGGTGGCAGTGAGCCGAGATCGCGCCACTGCACTCCAGCCTGGGCGGCAGAGTAAGACTCCATCTCAAAAAAAAAAAAAAAAAAGGAAAAAATAAAAGACCAGCCCGGACAACACAGTAAGACCCTAACTATACAAAAAAAAATTTTTTTTAATTACCCAGATGTGGTGGTGTAAATCCACAGTCCCAGCTACTCAGGAGGCTAAGGCAGGAAGATCACTGAGCCTGGAAGGTCGAGGCTGCAGTGAGCCACAACTGTGCCACTGTACTCCAGTTTGGGTGACAGAGCCAGACCTCGTCTCAAAAACAAACAAAAAAATCTGTATGTAAATGTTCATAGCAGCACTATTCAGAATAGCCAAAAGGTAGAAACAATGTAAATGTCCATCAAATCAAGACAGACAAAATGTGGTGTTTCTATAGAATATAGTATTATTCAGCCATAAAAAGGAATGAAGTACTACTGAACCTAGAAAGCATTATGTTAAGTGAAAGAAGCTGAACCCAAAAGGTCACACATTGCATAAGTGCACTTATAGGAATATCCAGAATAGGCAAATCCATAGAGAAAACAGATTACTGGGTGGCAGGCACTAAGAGACTGGGAATGGGGAGAGACTGCTTAAAGGGTACAGGGTTTCCTTTTAAGATGATGAAAATGTTTGGGAACATTTAGTCTGTGGTAATACTTGCATGACACTGTGAATGTACTCAACACCACTGAATTACATATTTTAAGTGGTTAAAATGGCAAATTTCATGTTATGTGAATTTTGCCAGAAATTTTTAAAAAAGGAATGAAGGAGTGATACATACTACAACATGGGTGAACCTGAAAAACACTATCCCAAATGAAAGAAGCCAGTTACAAAAGATCACATATTGTATGACTTCATTTCTATGAAATGTCCAAAATAGGCAAATATACAAAGACAGAAAATAAATTAGTGGTTGCTTAGGGCTAGGGATCCAGGAGAGAAGGATTGGAGAGTGATTGCTAATGTATACAAGGGTTCTTTCTGGGGTGATTGAAATGCTTTAAAATTAGATTATGCGAAAGATTGCAAAACTGTAAATATACTGGAAAACATCGAGATACCCCCTTTAAATAGGTGAATTTTACGGTGTGTAAATTATATCTCAATAAAGCTAATTTTAAAAAGGAAAAACTTAGGCCAGGCAAGGTGGCTCACGCCTGTAATCTCAACACTTTGGGAGGCTGAGGCGAGTGGATCATGACGTCAGGAGATCGAGACCAGCCTGGCCAATATGGTGAAACCCCGTCTCTACTAAAAATACAAAAATTAGCCAGGCGTGGTGGCATGCGCCTGTAGTCCCAGCTACTCAGAAGGCTGAGGCAGGAGAATCGCTTGAACCCAGGAGGCAGAGGTTGCAGTGAGCCGAGATCTCACCATTGCACTCCAGCCTGGTTGACAAATCGAGACTCCATCTCAGAAAGAAAGGAAAGAAAGGAAAGAAAGGAAAGAAAGGAAAGAAGGAAGGAAGGAAGGAAGGAAGGAAGGAAGGAAGGAAGGAAGGAAGGAAGGAAGGAAGGAAGGAAGGAAAATGAGATACCAATACACACCTATTAGAATAGCTACAATCAAATAAACTGACAATACCAAATAGGAATGAAAATGCGAACAACAGGAACTCTTAACATTCACTGCTGATGGAAATACAAAATAAAACAGCCCTTTTGGAAGGCAGTTTGCCAGTTTCTTACAAAGCTAAATACAGGCCTACCATATGATCTAGCAATCACATTCCTGAAGTATTTGATTATCCAAATTGATTTAAAAACTTATAGTCACACAAAACCTACACACAATGATCATAAGCAGCTTTATTCGTAATCACCAAAACCTGGAACCAAGGATGTCCTCTGATAGGTGAACAGATAAACAAACTGTAATATATCCATACAATGGATTATTTAGCAATAAAAATAAATGAGCTAGCCAATCACAAAATGATGTAAAGGACCCTTAAATGTATATTGCTAAGTGAAAAAAGCTAGTCCGGAAAGGCTACATACTAGATGATTTCAATTATAAGACATTCCAGAAAAGGTAAAACTATAGAAATAGTTAAAAACCGGTGGTTGCCAAGGGCTTGCGGAAAGGCAGAGAGGGCTGAAGAGCTGAAGTAGAATAATCTCATGGAGGTGAAACTATTTGGCACAATACTTTAATGGTGGATACCTGTTGCCCAGGCTGGTCTCAAACTCCTGGGCTCAAGTGATCCACCCATATCAGATTCCCAAAGCAGTGGGATTACAAGCGTGAGGCACCACACCCAACCTATGTCATACTTTTAAATATCATTTTAGAGTATACTCCTTCTACTTACTTTTTTTTTTTTTTTTTTTAGATGGGGACTTACTGTGTTGCCCAGGCTGGTCCCAATCTCCTGAGCTCAAGCCATCTTCCCACCTCAGCCTCCCAATGTGCTGGGATTACAGGCGAGAGTCACCATTCTACTTATGTTTTTTAAAAGCTACCTAAAAACAGCCTCAGGCAGGTTCCTTCAGGAGGTAGTCCAGACCGATCCACGTGAATATTGCCCCTGAAGACCTTCCAGTAGGACAAGATATGAAGGTGGAAGACATTGATATTGACAATCCTGACCTTGTGTGGGCCCTAGGCTAATGTGTGTGCTTATGTCTTCATTTCCAACAAAAAAGTTTAAAAAGTAAAAAAAAAAAAAAAGAAAAACGAAAAAAAAGGCCAGATGCAGTAGCATGCACCTCCAGAGGTTGAGGCCAGAGAATCATTTGAACCCAGGAGTTGGAGGTCAGCCTAAGCAACATAGCGAGACTCTATCTCTAAAAAAAATTTCATTTTTTAAAAAAAGGTTAAAAAAATTAAAAATTTGGCCGGGCGCGGTGGCTCACGCCTGTTAATCCCAGCACTTTGGGAGGCCGAGACGGGCGGATCACGAGGTCAGGAGATCGAGACCATCCTGGCTAACACGGTGAAACCCCGTCTCTACTAAAAAATACAAAAAACTAGCCGGGCGAGGTGGCGGGCGCCTGTAGTCCCAGCTACTCCAGAGGCTGAGGCAGGAGAATGGCGTGAACCCGGGAGGCGGAGCTTGCAGTGAGCCGAGATCCGGCCACGGCACTCCAGCCTGGGTGACAGAGCAAGACTCTGTCTCAAAAAAAAAAAAAAAAAAAAAAATTAAAAATTTTTAAATAGAAAAAACTTACAGAATAAGAATTTAAAGAAAAATACTTTTGTACAGCTGTATAATGTGTTTGTATTTAAGTGTTGTTACAAGAGTCAAAAAATAAACATTTTAAAGTTTATAAAGTCAAAAAGTTACAATAAGCTAAAGTTAATTTACTATTGATCAAAGAAAAAATTTGATGAATTTAGTGTAGACTAGCTGTACATTGTTCATAAAGTGTACAGTAAGGTACAGTAATATCCTAGGCCTTTACATTCATTCACCACCCCTCATTCACTGATTCACTCAGAGCAACTTCCACTCCTGCAAGGTCCTCTCATGGTAAGTGCCCTATTATAGGTGCACCATGTTTACCTTTCATATCTGTTCTGTTCTCTGTTCCGTTCTGTTCTGGGTTCTGTTGTGTTCCGTTCTGTTTTAAGACAAAGTCTCACTCTGTCACCTAGGTTGGAGTGCAGTGGCGTGATCTCGGCTCACTGCAACCTCTACCTCCTGGGTTCAATTCTCCTACTTCAGCCTCTCAAATAGTTGGGATTACAGTCATCTGCCACCATACCAGGCTAATTTTTGTATTTTTAGTAGAGACACAGTTTCACCATGTTGGCCAGGTTGGCCTCAAACTCCTGACCTAAAGTGATCTGCCTGCCTCAGCCTCTCAAAGTGTTGGGATTACAGGTGTGAGCAACTATGCCCGGCCCTTTTTTTTTTTTTTTGACAAAATCTCATTCTGTTGCCCAAGCTGGAGTGCAGTCGCATGATCTCGGCTCACTGCAAGCTCCGTGTCCGAGGTTCAAGCGATTCTCCTGCCTCAGCCTCCTGAGGAGCTGGGACTACAGGCACCCACCACTATGCTGGGCTAATTTTTGTATTTTTAGTAGAGATGGGGTTTCACT